ATGAACTGCCTCCTCCTCCTGTAACAGCCAGCTGTGAATCTGTCCATCCTTGCTGAGTGATGCCTGCTGCCAGGGAGCTGGTCTTTAGTTCATTCAGTCACTTCCCAATGTCCTGCGTGAGTCTGGGGTCACAGAGAGGAGTCAGGCCAGGTCCAAGCCCTGGGGAAGCTCTCGGTCTGGTGGGGACAACAGGCACAGATTGGGGCGATAAAATCCGTAATAGAGATAACACCAGTGATCACAGAAAAAGGGCCCTCAAATCAGGCTGCGGAGGGGGGTATCAGGGAAGGCTTTCTGGAGGAGGCAATGTGGGAACTGGGCTTTGACGGATGAGTAGGAGTTCGCTAAGGGGCTCACCTAAGAATCTGGGGCAACGATGGGAGGAGAGCAAGATCTAGGGGAACTTAGAGAATTCCTGACTGAAGCACAGAGGACTATAGCTTGGTCCTTTAACTCCCCCTGCCAACCCCGTCCCCTGCCAGGCTTCTCCCCGGCCAGGCCCCGATCCGGGCTGGATGTGGACACCGTGAACTACACTAACAACAACCGCAGTCATAACGATGCTAATAAGACGCACTAGCGTTTCCTGAGCACTTGCTGTGTCCCGGGAACCTCAACTTCCTCATTTGTGTTCCTTAAATGCCTACGATGTGCCAGGCACTGGTCTAGGAGCAAGAAATCCAGCAGTCCCCAAGACAGAGCCCTGGGTATAACCGTACTCACGTCACGAGGTTGCCATGACAAGTGCAGTTCATTCATGTGAAACGCTTAGCACGAAAGCCAGCTAGACGTACGGAGAAAGTGTTGCTTGTTATTATGAGTCACCCCCATTCCGCAGATGAAGATACTGAGGTCCGAAAAGGTTTCAGAGCATCCCCTAAGGTCACACAGCTTGTAGGCAGGATAGCCGGGCTTAGGAGTCGGCGGGGGACGGCGGCGGGGCGGCGGGGGGGGGGCTCTCTGCATCGATGCGGGCAGTGAAGTCACTGCGGAGGCCCAGCCGGCCATGGTCAAGGAAGACTTTGCAGAAAAGGCAAACCCAAAGACAAGGAAGGCGTTCCCCAGGAGGAAGGCAGGGAAGGGCGTTGCAGCCAGCTGGAATGACATGTGCAAAGGGACGGGGGCAGATGAGAAGAATAACTACAGGTTGCTCCTCGTGGCCGGGTGTGGGACGTGAGACAGACGAGGCTGGAGAGGGGCAGGGCACAGGCCACACAGGCCGAGACACACGGGGACTCTCCGGAGGGCAGTGGGGCCGTCGAGAGTCCATGGGCCAGGGAGAGAGAGGAGCGACTTGGGCTATTGGCCCCATTCCCATCCACGGAGCGCCTACCACGTGCCAGGCTCTGTGCCACATCCCTAGGGCGGGGACCTCGTCTTCCTCTCTCAGAAGTTCTGTAAGGGAAGCGGCGTCGCTACCAATTTAATGATGAAAAGGAACATAACTGAGGTCTAGAGGGACAGCGTGACCTCTGCGGCTTGTAAGAAGCGGGGCCAGCACCGGAAGCCTAGCGGGACTGACATTAAAGCAAAAGTCCCTTCTCCCCCGCAAAGACTCCTGGGTAGGAGACATTTGAAGGGTAGAGACTGGAGGCTCAAGAGGAGGCTGGGCAAGGGTCCAGGGTAGGAGAACCAGATGGGGAGAAGGGAACGGGACAGGCAGATCCCAGCGAGAAAGATGGCCCGGAGACGACCCCTCCCCCAGCCAGAACAGCTTCTTCCCTCCCCCCCCCCAGTGAACATTACTCAGGCGGCGCTTGCAGAGGTCTGCCTCCCACGAGCTGTGTCTGAGTCATGTCCCCCAGTGGATCGTGATGCCTGAAAAAGAGCCCTGGACCGCCAGGATCAAGGCCTGACGCAGCCGCCAGCTCGCTCTGGGGCGGGCGGGGGGCATCCGTCTCTACGGGGCCTCTGGTTCCTTCTCTGTGAAACGGGAGAAGTAATGACGGCCAACGGCTCGGGGTCAATGGGGAGGTGGGCAGTAAGATCACATCCTGGCACTCTCAGCTACATCAGGAGAGAGAGCTGCAGAGAGAGGCGAGACAGACAACTGGACAAAGAGGTTAGAGAACCAAGGGGCATAGAGATCCTGCTAGAGAGAGCGGCAAATTCCGGATTGGACAGACACAGTGGGAGATTGTTGTCCACAGACTTATCATCGAGGCTGCTGAGAGGTTTTGGTTCTAAGTCTCTTCCTGGTAGATCCCACCCCATTGTCCTTATTTGTCAACGATGCCGACACTAATCCCTGGGCTCGGCTTACTGACTACCTCTTGACCGTTCCTACTGCCCTCTGAGCCAAGTATCAACATTCGCATTTTATGAGAAAGGGAACCGAGGTGGGCTTGGAGCGGGAAATTGGACTACCAAATTGTAATGATGTGGGTGGCCGAGGAGGACTTTGTCCCAGGTCTCTGCCCACCCCCCCGTCACGCTATTCATTTCTCAGGCAAGGATGACGGGCTTTGCCTTCGCCACTCCCCTCTTCAGTGCTCAGTGAAGCTAAAACTCACCTCCAGGGAACCCAGCTGCCCTTATTTCAAAGAAATATTGACCAGGGGACTTTCTGGTCCAGCCTGTGTTCCTTCCAATAGCAGCCCTGCGCAGGTAGCTATACTCCCACCTCCATTTTACAGGTAGGGAAACAGACAGAAGGAGGTGAAGTCCCCTCCCTGAGGTCCCACAGGTAGTAAGTCGGAGAACTGAGCTGACCTCAGGACTTGCTTCCTAGTTTCCCAGGACAGCTACCCATAGGAAACTCAAGACCTTCAGGGTCTTCAGTTTTAAAAGATCAATTTGTGTATCGGTTAGCTATCGCTGCGAAACAAATTTTCCCAAAACTTCCAACCACAAGCCTGGAGTGGCTTAGCCGGCTAGTTCTGGCTTGGGATTCCTCCTGATTTGGGCAGGGGCTGCAGTCATCTGACGGCTTGACGGGGGCTGGGGGTCGTCATTCCAAGATGGCGCACTCAGTCTCTGGTCACCTCAGAGACTGCTTAAGACATGGCGGCTATCATTCCATAGAGTGAGAGAGAGACAAGAAGCCATAGTTCCTTTTATGAACTACTCTCTTAAGTCACATACCATCACTTCTGCCTTATTCTAGTTACTAGCTATGTACCACTAAGTACACAGCCAACAGGCAGGTGAGGGGACTAAGGTTCATGTCTTAAAGGAGCATCTACAAACTCATGGGCATGTTTGAAACCACCGTGGTTTTGTGGAGTTTTTTGTAGATATCTGTCATTGGGATGAGGAAGTTCCCTCCTATTTCTAGTTTGTTGAAAGTGTTATCATAAAAGGGTGTTGGATTTTGTTAAATGCTTTTTCTCAATTGACGTGATCATTTTTTTTTTCTTTTATTCCATTATACGATTTACTACATTAATTTGTAGGTCGAACCAATCTTGCATTCCGGGGATAAATCCTACTTGGTTATGGTATATAATCCTTTTTTATATGCTGCTAGATTTGTTTTGTTAGGATTTTGTCAAAGGTTTTGTGACTGTCTTCAGAAGGGATATTGATCTGTAGTTTTATTTTCTTGTGATGTCTTTGGTTTTGGTATCAGAGTCATACTGGCTTCGTGGAACGAGTTAGGAACTGTCCCTTACTCTTCTATTTTTGGGGAAATTTTGAGTTAGATTCGTAGCGATGCTTTTTTAAATGATCGGTATAATTAACCAGTGAAGCATTCTGATACTGGGCTTTCCTTTGTTCGAAGATTTTTTTTTTTTTAATTACTGACTCAGTCTCTTTACTTGTTATGGATCTATTCAGATGCCCTAGTTCTCGAATCAGTTTTGGTAGTTTGAGTTTTCCTAAGAAGTTTTCCATTTCATCTAGGTTATCGAACGTGTTGGCATACAGCAGTTCAAAGCATTCCCTTAACATCCTCTTTCTGTAAGCTTGGTAGTAAAGTCCCCTCTTCCTGGTTTTACTAATTTAAGTTTTCTCTCTCATTTTTGTGGTCAGTCTAGCTAAAGATTTTTCGATTTTGATGATCTTTTCAAAAAAACCACTTCTCGTTTTGTTGATTGTATCTACTATTTTTCTAGCCTCTATTTCATTTTTTTACCATTCCAATCTTTACCATTTCCTTCCTTCTACTAGCTCTGGGTTTAGTATGCTATTCTTTTACTAGTTTCTTAAGGTGGAAGTTTAGGTTATTAATTCTGAGTTCTTTTTCGATGTAGAGTGTTTAGGACACTAAATTTCCCCCAAAGTATTGCTTTCCCTGTATCCCATAGGTTTGGGTATGTTGTGTTTTCATTTTCCTGCATCGCAAAGTATTTTTTTAATTTCCATTATGATTTCTTTTTCCAACCGTTGGTTGTTTGAGTGTGTCGTTTAATTTCCATCTATTTGTGAATTTCCCTAATTTTTTTTTCCTATTGATTTCTAAGTTAATTCTACTGAGGTCATCAAGATCAGAAAACATACTTTGTATCACTTTAATCCTTTTAAATGTATGGAGACTCGTTTTGAGAACATTTCATATGCACCTGAGAAGAATGTGTATTCTGCCCTTGTTACGTGGAGTGTTCTACAGATGTCTTAGGTCTCATTGGATCACAGTGTTCACATTTTCTACCTCCTTGATCTTCTCTCTAGTTGTTCTATCCATCATCGAAAGCGAAGTATTAAAATATCCAATGATTACTATGGAATTGCCAATTTCTCTCTTCAATTAGGTCAGTTCTTGCTTCGTGTGTTTTGAAGTTATGTTAGGTGCATATATATTTATAATTGTTATATCTTCTCAGTGGCTTGACTCTTAACTGCTTTTGCCAGTTTTCTTCATTGTTTTTAGGGAAGTGTGGGATTCGGGGGTTCCCGATTCCGCCACTTTGCTGATGTCACCTTAATGCGATGTTTTTAATCACACTTGTTCTCCAAAGCAATTACGCAAGAAATAGGATGTTGTCCCATACCAGAATAGAAGAAACTCGTTCTCTTTGCTCTTTGTGTATTAGTTCTAGAACTGAAAGAAACCAAAATAACCAGTTTAAGCAGGATGGTTTATTTCTCACATAAAAAGCCTCAACAAGTAGAGCAGGTCTGCTCTTTTAAATGCAGCAGGTCACAGGCTCCTGTGTCCTGGTGACTCAGCTATGAAGTCACAAGTTTGGCTGCTGTGACAAAAAAATACAAAACAGCATGGCTTAAACAAGATGGAAAAATGTTACCTCTGTGTATAAAAGTCTTCGTAAGTGGTTGGAATTACATATGGAGGCTCCGCAGAGTTGGGATTCAGGCTTCTTCTGTCTCGTTCTATCTTTCGTCTCATGGTCCGAGATGGCTGCCATGGCTTTAGCCATCAACTTTGCATTCCAGCCAGTAGGGAGAAAGAAGTGGAGACGTTTTCCTTCTTTTCCTTTATAAAAAGTATGCCTCGGAAACTGTCTACATTATTCTCACTCACATTCCAATGGCCAGAACAGCCCCATGGTCACACGTGGCTGCAAGGGAGCCTGTGAAATGTGGCCTTTGGCTGGGAGGTCACGTGCTAGGCTACATCTTCTATAAATGTGCAAGAGCTGAGAGCGGATCCTGCCACATGCATCGCTCCTGAGCCGGTCCTGGCAGGAATCACAAAGGATTTTATAATGATAATAGGTAGCGATGATCAGAGGCCACACGGTGCCCTGGTTTAAATCAAAGACTCTGGGTTTAAATTCTGACAAGGCCACCTCAGGTACTGTGTACCTGGGAGGACAAGAGACTTTCTGAGCTTCATTCGCCTCCCTTGCGGAATGGGCCGAATCGCCTCGGAGGTATGGCTGAGAGGAATAAAAGAGAAAATGGATGTAAGAGCTTGGCCTGGTGCACAGTGAATGCTTGTGTCTGAAAAGTGGCCGATCTTTAGAATTCTCCAGTGCCTGGAAAGACAGTGCATGTGTTTTAAGTCTATCTTATTTATGTCTGTGGACTGTTTGGTTGAGCCTGTTTCTCTATCCACGTGCCCTTCCCGCCCCACCGCCATGTCTGAGTGCTCCCCCCGTCCCCGACTCCCTCCTGGTCCAACTTATTTTTCTTCCCATCTGCCAAGCAGAAATCACATCCACCCCTGATTTTATGGTGCAGGGATCAGAGAGGTGCGGCCCTGGCCCAAAGTGCCACCCCAGGACAGGATCAAGGTGTGAAGCGAGCCCCCCTCTTCCCCCCCTCTGCTCAGGTCTAGAGTTTTCCTTCGGGTTGCGCCCACACACCCATGACCTCCCTGTCTCCCATCCTTCCCCAGAGTGGGGTCAACAGTGGACTGGTCCGCGCCAAAGACTCTATCACCAGCCTGAAGGAAAAGACCACCCGGGTGAATCAGCACGTGCAGACGCTGCAGGTGTGAGAACTCCCCGCCCCCCCAACACCTCCCTTCCTCCATGGCTACCCTGCCCTCTTAGAGCCCGCCTCCAACTCACCACATCATCGCTCCCACAGCCCAGCTGGGGAGGTAGAGGCTGAGAAGGAAAAGCAAACTTCCCAGGTCCAGCCTCTCCTCCCCGTGGGGTGTCCCCCTGAGGCCCCGGCTAACCCCTCGTCTCTTCCATGCTCCAGAGTGAGTGTTCTGTGCTGAGCGAGAATCTGGAGAGGAGGAGGCAGGAGGCGGAAGAACTGGAAGGGTACTGTAGCCAGCTCAAGGTGAGTCGTTGAGGGGCCGGAGTGGCCTGGGCCAAGGGAGTGGACGTAGGAAGAGGGGGGCACGGAGCAGGAGGTGGGAGGAAGTGGAAACGTAGCACGGAGAGGTTGAAGGGGGAAGCCATCCCTTTCACCAAGGGACCCCGCCCGGGTCCCATGGGCAGACCACGAAGCGCAGGGCAAACGCTGGGGGAGAAGCCGGCGTGTCTCCATGCCGCGTCAGAGCCCGTGTGGAAACGGGGGAAGGGCTGGGAGGCGGGACTGGAATGGGAAGGCAGGGCCCCCGCCCTGGTGTCCTGACCCAGGAGAACTGCCGGAAGGTGACCCGGTCGGTGGAAGATGCTGAGATAAAAACCAACGTCCTGAAGCAGAACTCGGCCCTGCTGGAGGTATGAGGGTGCGGGTGGGGGGTCCCAGGGTTTGGTGAGGGGATCGGGGGCTTGAGGTTCTTGAGGTAGACTCCAGGTGCAACTTCGCGCCCTGCCGCTGCCACCCTCACACCGCCCCTGTGTGTTCACGGTCACACTTCTCCGTGCACAGACATATTCAGGTGCGAGAGAGAGACCTGTGTCGGATCTTGAGTGGGAACGCCCATCCCGCCCACTTATTTCCCAGTGAAACGTGGGAAAAGCCTCAGTAGTTCTTCCTTTGATACTCTGAAGGATCAGGCTGGGGTGGAGGGCTGGACAGAGACAGGGAGGCAGCCAGCAGGAGGTTAAAGTGAGTTGGACTCCAGCTCGGCTTCAAACGGGACGAACGTCCCCGGGAACAGCAAGTTAGGAGTCCATTTACTTCCACTGGACTTCCCAATCCCCCAGCCCCATGTTCATTTACTTTCCAATCTGGGAGATTCATTGGCTGGATTTGAGGATAAAGGTGGGCATGGGAGGCGAGGGGCTGGCCCCAGTGACGCTGCCCTCCTTCCGTGTCCCAGGAGAAGCTGCGCTACCTCCAGCAGCAGCTGCAGGACGAGACGCCTCGGAGGCAAGAGGCCGAGCTGCACGAGCTGGAGCAGAAGCTTGAGGCCGGTCTCTCCCGGCAGGGCCTCTTCCCGGCTGCCCAGCCCCCAGGCTGCTCCGGCCCTCCTGGGAGCCCCGACGAGCCCCCGCGACCACGAGGCCTGGCCATAGGCGGCTGGGGAATGGGGCCCCGATCAGGGGAGAGCCCCATCGTGAGCGAGCAGGAGTTGCAGAAGGTCTCCGCCGGCCTTGAGGAGCTGAGGTGAGCGGGATCCGGGGGTGAAGCCTGGAAGATCTTAGGGGACAGGTCCTAGGGAGTAGAGTGTGCTCTGGGGGTGGCGACCTGGCAGGACAGGGACTCCGAAGAACTGAGTTTTTGAGTACAAGGCTGGCGGAAGGGAAGTCTGGAGAAACTGAGGCAGGTTTTTTTTTAGAGGGGGATCCTTGGAGGCTGCAAAGGCAAGGGATCGGGGTGAGGGTGCTTTGAGGAGGCAGTCTTGAGGAGCTGATGTGGAGCTGGGGGGCAGGACGAGGGAAGGGCCATATCTAATAAGCGGATAGAGGTTATGGGAGGATTCCAAAAACTAAACAGGACACCAGAACTTGGGGACCGGGTGGGTCACGAGCCACGAGGTGGGACGAGGTCTTGATGGGGTGGGGCCTTGACCGCTTCCTTACCTCTGCCCCTCTAGGAGGGAGGTGTCATCGCTGACAGCCCGGTGGCATCAGGAGGAGGGGGCGGTCCAGGAGGCCCTGCGGCTACTGGGGGGCCTGGGCGGCAGGCTAGACGGCTTCCTGGGCCAGTGGGAGCGGGCGCAGCGCGAGCAGGCGCAGACTGCGCGGGGCCTGCAGGAGCTGCGAGGCCGGGCAGACGAACTGTGCACCTTGTAAGGGCCAAGGCGCGGGGGTGGGGCCGTGAGAGGGCGGGGCATCGAGGGAAAGGGGTGGGCCAATCAGCCGGGGCCGAGCGATCGCGAGTAGAGAGTGACAGGTACGAGCTCCAATTAGAGGGTAGGGAGGGACGTGTCATGCCTAACTGAGGTGGCAGAGCCAATTAGAGAAGAGCTATTCCATACCTTAAAAGGACAAAGGGAGGAGCCCAGTAGGAATAGCGAAAGCCAATCAGAGACCAAGGAGGGCCATACCAGACCTTAAAACACAAAAGGAACAGCCAATCAGAGCGGAAAGGGACAGGGCGTGGTAGAGTATGCAGACGAGCTGGAGACCAAGGTGCTAATCATGGGCACAGCCCTGGAGAGGCGACCTCGCAGCACTGGTTACTCTCCCGCCTCAGGGTGGAGCGGTCAGCTGTGTCTGTGGCTTCACTGAGGAGCGAAATGGAGGGGCTGGGCCCGGTGAAACCGATTCTAGAGGAACTGGGGCGGCAATTTCAGAGCTCTCGAAGAGGGTCTGACTTCTCCATGAACCTGGACCGGGTCCCCCAAGGTTCCTGTGCCCGTTGTGCCAGGTAAGGGGCCCAGGCCTGGCCCGCAGGTATATTCTGGATCAAAACATTGAGGGAAATGAGCAATTTGCAAGAACGGAGAGGGGTTCATGGTGGGAGACTCGGCATCCCATGCATGCATGCATGGCAGGACCGGCCAGTCCTGGTGCATTATGGGAGCCACATTTCTTTCCTCCCGCAAGGCGGATTCAGTGTCTTGTGGAACACAAGAAAGACTCGATACATTTCGAGCCTCCTGGACTTCTAGTGCATTGTGGGAAGGTTGGGATGTGGTGCTTGGTGGGAGACTGCGTTTCTCCGTGCATTGTGGGGAAAGTGAAGGCGAGACCTTGATGTATTGGAGAGTCGACAGATACCACGCTGGGTCCACATTAGGCAGGGGGAGGACTTCCAGTGCAACGTGGGATCAGGCTTAACTAGTGCACTGTGGGAAACGTGAGTTTTGGGTAAACTGAGAGCCATCTGGTGCCCGAATCCCCAGGCACGGTGGCAACCAAAAGATATCTGATGCACTGTAGGTTGGCCCCAGTGCATAGTGAGAAGATTGCATGGGTGCATAGTGGAATCAGGACCTGGGTGGAGGCTGGGCGGGCAGGCAGGCATGGGGCATCCTGGGAATGGAGTTGGTACGAGGCCTCCTTCACCGGGTGACTACTCTTCCCCCAGCCAGGGGCAGCAGTTGTCCACGGAGTCCCTGCAGCAGCTGCTGGAGCGAGCGCTGACCCCACTAGTGGACGAAGTGAAGCAGAGGGGCCTGGCTCCCGCCTGCCCCAGCTGCCAGAGGCTACACAAGAAGATTCTGGTACCAGGGATCATGGGCCACCATGCCCCATTTTTCTGTCAGGGCAGGGGGAGGGGAGCTCCAGGCGCAATGTACAGCTGGGTGTGGCAGGATGGGAAGGGCAGAGCCCTGGGCTCTAATGCATTGGGGTGGGAAACAGGTGAGCAGTTGGGTGGTAGGTGAGTCATAGGTCGACCTTGGGTGAAGGACTTGGGCCCAAAGCATGATGGGACATTGCATCTGGTGCATTATGAGACACAGGAGACAGACACCAGTCTACAGCTTCATGGACTAAAAGCCTGATTTTCAGTAGACCTCAAGAGGCCACACATTATATGGCATCACTGAGGTCAGACAGGACCCAGCACACATAGATCACAGCAAGCTAGTGCATCACCGGAGATGGAACCCCACCCCTCTATGGGGTACTGCACCCTAGACTGAAGCCCAAGAGCTGACGGAACTTGAGGCCTGTGTGAATTCTGAAACGTAGAGACCTAATGTATTATGGGATACTGGCCTAACGTGTGATGGGATGTAAGTTGAGGTGTTTGAGACAGACAAGTCAGGCAGTATGGGACACTGATGTGGCAGAACTATGGGACTAAGACATGATAGGACGTGGGGCCTGGTGCATTCTGGGATATAGGGAGCCAAAGCACTAAGGACTACTATGGTGGCAGGTGCTGGTCTACCGATAAGGAGAGGTGACGTCTTGTGAATTACGGGATGTGTAAGGTCACATGATGAGATACCGGGGCCCAGACACATATTCAATGCATGATGGTTCACGGGCATTTGGGCACAATATGACAGACGCTGATTTAGTGCTTGCTGGGACATAGATGGCCAGTGCGTCGTGGGATGGTGGGGTCAGTGTCAGGCTGGAGGCATGATGGGATAACCTGGGGGAGGAACTCGGGTCCCATGGGACCCTGCCCCTTGCCCTCCGCGATCCAGCTCCCCCTCCACCCCCAGCCCAGTCAGGCAAGCCCAGCCGCGCCCACACTCCTCTCCCCAGGAGCTGGAGCGCCAGGCCTTGGCCAAACACGTCAGGGCAGAGGCCCTGAGCTCCACCCTTCGGCTGGCCCAAGACGAAGCCCTGCGGGCCAAGAACCTGCTGCTGACGGACAAAATGAAGCCGGAGTGAGGACGGAGGCTGAGGGCATGGGAGGAGGGTGAGGCCTTTGGCACTGGGCCTGAGCCGCCCCTCCCCCACTCCAGCTCCGTGACATCGGGGCCACCAGCACCCACTCCCCGCGCTCTGTCTTTACAGGGAGAAGGTGGCCACTCTGGATTATCTACACTTGAAGATGTGCTCCCTCCACGATCAGCTCAGCAACCTGCCACTTGAGGGGTCCACGGGGACAATGGGGGGAGGAAGCGGTGGGGGACCTCCCCCAAAACGTGGGGGCCCAACCCCTGAACAATAAATGGCCCCTCATGCTGGCATGAATCCTGTCTCCTTGATGATATCAAAAGATGGCTAGCAAACTGGATGTGACTCAGTCCCCAGCCAGCACGCTATCTGGGTTCCAGGGATGCTGCTGATGGTCCAGCTCTTTGGAAATGAAATAGGGATAGAAATAAGGTTCTGTGATACAGTTTGGGCTCATCAGCCAACATTTTTTTAGGGTGGTTTTTTACTAGAGAAATTGTCTATTGCGGTATAAAAAAAATTGCCCCAAAATGTAGTCGCTTAAAACAATAAATATATATCATCTCACAATTTCTGAAGACCAGGAATCTGGGAGTAGCTTAGCTGGATGGTTCTGGTTCAGGGGCCTCGTGAGTTTGCGGTCAAGACGTCAGCTGGGCTGCGCTCATCTGAAGGCGTGACCGGGGCCAGAGGCTGTGCTTCCAGGATGGCCCACCCACGTGGCTCTCGCTTGGAGGCTTCAGTTGCGTGCTGTCTGTTGGCTGGAGGCCTTGGCTTTTCATGGCAGCTAACTGTCCCCAGAGCAAGCAGCCTGAGAGAGAATAGGGCCTTTGATGACCTAGTCTCTCAAGTTGTATATTGTCACTTCTTTTTATATTCCTTAGAATTGAGTCACTAAGTCATCCCAGGTAGGCCGATGAATTTAAGATGGACTGGAGCAGGTCACTCATCGCCTGGGGCTTCTCTGAATAGAGCAGGGTGTGCTGCTTCCAGCTGACGAGGTCAGCGGTGCTGAATGGCTGGCAGCGGAAGATGACGGGGCAGTCCGGCTGGAGTGTGCTGTCTTCACTAATCTCAAGAGGGCCTCGCGTCTCTTGGAGGGGCATCTAGAGGGCCACAGGCTGCTGGGGCGGCGAAGGCATCGATGGCAGAGGGCTGTCCAGTAATTGGGGGTCATGTGGCTGTGTGGGGACTGGCGGAGCTGCTGGGATGTACGGTGCTGGGAAAAGAGGCTCTTCCTCCAGGTCCCCTTGGTGGATGGCTCTTGCTGGCTCTTGTCCTTTCCCCGAGTCATCGGGCCACAAGTACCTTACTCTGTCTCTGCCTATTTGTGCAGAACCGGGATCAAGTAGGCACTACAGTAGGATTTGCAACGATGAGTCTATGTATGGAAACTGGGCTGGATGTCTAGGGGACCCTGTCACTACCCGGTACATAGTTCTCACAGTGGGGAGGTCCAAGGTCCCTTCCGAAGCCCCTCCTACCCCTAAGGCAGACCACTCAAGCTCACAAAGAGTACGAAATTTTCCTGGGGTCAACTTGACCCCATAATCCCCCAGGAAACCTTTCTTAAAATTTTTCAACATACCGTTTAAGACATTTGGCTTAGAGGAACCTCCACTCATAATGCC